CCCACTAACTAATTGGCCCCACTAACACCTCTTCCAGCAGCAACCTTAGTTTTTCCCAGGAGGTGTGAAAACCTTCATAAGGCTGCAAGGTGTGAGTTGCAGGGTGATATGGCTGCTAGCCATTTGGTCTTAGTTTCCAAACACGTAGAGCTGTAGGACCTAACATCTCAGCCAAACGGCAGTATGTCCTACAGCAAGGTGTTCCCTGCCTCCATACTGGACCACTGGTTTGGAAATTCATGTTCAGCAGGAAGAGCACCTACTGGTCCACCAGCACTTTTTAACAGCAACCTGGTTTTCTTAGTAGGTCTCCCATCCCAGTACTGTCCAGGTCCAGCTTTGCAGAACTAAAGAGATCTAGCTGGATCAGGTGAAAGGCTTGTAAAGAAGAGACTGTGCTGAATTCATTTTCTACTCTGCTTTCATGGTACCAGTACCGGAAAAAAAATCACTTTGCTTTGCTTTTTATTTGCGCAAAATAAGTTTGAAACATCAGTGTGTATTCACAAGTACGGTTCTGGAAATGCTAGCCCAGACACCAGCCTAGAAATGTGGGGGAAAAAAGAAACTCTGAAGGCTCTCTTTATTTGATAAAACTGCCTCTTGCAATTTAATCATTACTGAGTTTCTAAAACATGAAGCTGCAGGTATAGAAGAACTTCTGGGAGCACCGTTTTGTCTTGTGATTTAAAATCCAGATCTGTTCTAATATGGAGTGTTTTGGAGTGGTGCTCAGCATTTTTAGATCCTGTTTGAAAGTTTTACTGACAATGGGAAAAAACAGATGTGTTTCCAATCATAGAAGTCCATGTCTATTGAGAATCGGAGGAGTTACAGATCTGTCCCTCCCAAGGTAAGAGATTTGACCAGAAAATGTAGGCTTTGCGGCCCCTGAGGTTTGTTTTGTCAGATGAGACAGCCTACAGCTGCAGTTTGCCAGCATATGAAAGATCACAGAATGAGAGTACTTTGCACCTTTGCTTGTAAAATTCCATCGACCACAGAAAACAGAAAAGCTTTGCCTATACAGGATTACTCTCTGAACCAGTGGCTATAGCTGAGACGCCTCCCCCTTCCAAACAAACACACTCTCTCTACTTGTACAATGTGTTCTATACAGACTAGGGTTAAAGTTTAATGGATAATCCTCAAAATATGACAAGGCAGGACCGTACATTCTCTGTGTGTATTTTCAGGAACCAGTCACACTGCATTGTCCATGAGTTTCACTGGTGTCATTTTTCATCATAATGCATTTTTTACGAACCCCAAAATACAGATGCATCGCCTCACAGAAACACTGTGTCTAGGATGCCCAGATTTCTTTGACGGACACCTGCGCTCTTGGCCAGCAGCAGGTGATGTCCACTGAAGGTTTTCTTTTACTAACTTCCACCACACTTCTTATCTAGTTTTTGAGATCGGTAAAATACTAGAGCTGGTTGGATACTAACTCTGGATTCACGGCTGACAACTCTCAGCTGCTTCTTTCACACGGCTGTCCCATGGAAGGACTATAACCCAACGCCAACCACTAGAGGCCGCCAAAAACACATGAAAGACATTCAGAGGATATGGTAGTGGTCAGTGGAAATTTGGGTTTTGGTCATTTTAGTTATTAAGGGGTGGAAAAGTTTTTAAAATCTATTCTAGCTTGTCTTTTCTTTTATGAGGTTGTGCTCAGAAAAAAGCCAGATGACCCCCTGGACCTGAAAAACATGCTACCCAAACAAGGGAGCTCTCTCGCAACATCCTGTCATCTCACAGTTTTCACACATCGCATCATAATAAAACGTATTCTTCCTGCTCCTCCCTGTTGGGTTTTTAACAGATATGTTTTTTTCCCGAGCAAAGAAATTGATACTTTAACATGCTGGGGTGCTTAATCTGGTGCCCTGGCTGAATTCCTCATGAACTTTTATATGATTCTACTGGCACTTTTATAGAGCACTTTACACCCATGGACCCCAGAGAACCTTAAGTATAGGAGTGTTCCCACACAACAGGGCTGGGATTAGTGGGCCAGTTCTCTTTCGGCTTTCGGATTGACGGAGATGCCTACGGCTTGCAGTGACACAGGCAGCAGATGCGTCATGGCTTCAGCCGATGGTGCAACGACTCCTTCAGCATGTCAAATGACAAGTGACTCTGCCGGTGGGCGTGTTGGAGGAGCATGTCTGCCTGTCTCGTTCTCATCCCAGTGGGTGTGGGAGTCGTCAAGTGCCAGAGACTTCGAGTCGGAAAAAACTCAAGTTCCGAATCAAGTGGGTGTAGTCTAAGTAAACACTGCTCATGAGGAGATATAGTCATGTGAAAAAGAAAGTACACCCTCTTTCAATTCTATGATTTTATATATCAGGACATAACAAAAAATCAGCTGGTCCTTACCAGGTCCCAAAATTAGGTCAATCTAACCCCAGGTGACAAACAACACATAACGGATTCCACTGTGTCATTATTTATTTAAAAATAAGCCAACATGCAGAAGCCGTGTGTGAAAAACTAAGTACACCCCCTGATTCAGTAGCTTGTAGAACCGCCTTTAGCAGCATTAACTTGAAGAAATCGTTTTCTGTATGAGTTTATCAGTCTCTCACATCATTTTAGAGGAATTTTGACCCACTCTTCTTTGCGACATTGCTTTTGTTCATTGATGTTTGAGGGCTTTCGTTTATGCACAGCTCTGTTAAGGTCCCGCCGCAGCATCTCAATGGGGCTGAGGTCTGGACTTTGACTTGGGCATTCCAACATCTTGATTCTTTTCCTTTTCAACCATTCAATGGTAGATTTGCTAGTGTGCTTGGGATCATTGTCCTGCTGAATGAGCCAATTTCGGCCAAGCTGTCGCTGTCGGACAGATGGCCTCACGTTTGTCTCTAGAGTACTTTGGTATAAAGAGGAGTTCATGGTCGACTTGATGACTGCAAGGTGCCCAGGTCCTGTGGCTGCAAAACAAGCCCAAATCATCACCCCTCCACCACCGTGCTTGACGGGTGGTATGAGGTGTTTGTGGTGATAAACATGGCGTTGTGCATAATGACCAAAAATCTACACTTTGGTCTCGTCTGTCCAAAAGACATTTTGTTCCAGAAATGGTTGTCATATTGAGGTTTGTTCAAATGCAGCTCTGCAAACCTAAGCCGTGCTGCCATGTTCTTTTTGGCTACCCTTCCATGAAAGCCATACTTGTTCAGTCTTTTTCTGATCGTACTGTCATGAACTTTAACATTGAACCGAGGCCCGTCGGTCCCTAGATGTAGCTCTTGGGTTCTGTGCGGTTTCTCTGAGCATTATATGGTCTGACCTTGGGGTGAATCTGCTGGGACGCCCACTCCTGGGAAGATTGTCAACTGTCTTGAATGTTCTCCATTTGTAACTAATCCTCACTGTAGAATGATGGATTTCAAATTGTTTGGAAATGGGCTTATAACCCTTCCCTTTTATAGAGGTGGTCACACTTCCTGATGATCAACTAATCAAGTGCATTTGATTAGCAGCACCTGGCTGCTAATTACCTTCTTCATTCCGAAGGAAGCAGTAAGGGTGTGCTTAATTCTTCCCACATGATTTCTGCATTTTGGCTTACTTTTTGTTGAATAGATAATGACATAGCGAAATCTGTTATGTGTTGTCTGTTATTCGAGGCTAGATTTGTCTAATTATAGAAGTTAGTGAGGACCAGACGATTGTTATTTATGATATGTAAAACCATTGAATTGAAAGAGGATGTACTTTCTTTTTCACATGACTGTAGACGCTGGAACCATTTCAGGACTCAAGGGCTGCAGGCTCTTGTTTATAATCCTGTACCAGGTACTGGGTTTCTATTTAAAATGCTGTCTAACCCTGGTCCTGTATATCTCTTCAGGTTTGAATATCAGCTCAGTACTCCATGCTTGAATTGAACCAGTTATTGTGCGAGTGTGTCAAGATTCCATTTTCTTGCTATGTACATTTGCACACAAGTTGACTCGATCTCCAGATTTGTTAAGTGTCAGAAACATATACTCCGTTTACAATTACACCCCTTCAAAGGATACTGAATATTCATGGGGCAGTAGCGTTTAGTGGTGGAGTAATTTAGGGCTAGGTTTCCAGGCCTTTTACATTTTAAGATGAACATGTCTGAATTGAATTTTCACATAGCCTTCCTCTAGTTAATAAAAATTACCAATCACTTTGAATGAAAAATCTGTACTTGTATTGGTGCAAAGGGCTGTAAAATGTAGGCAGGAAATCCTGAAAGTGCAGCTCTGATTTTGACCCTGCTGTTCTTGGAGACTATTTGTCCTTGATTTAAAAAAATGCTATGGTTTGGTCTCATTCATCCATCTTTTATCTAACCGTTTCTTCCAATTCAGGGTTGTGGGGAAGCCAGAGCCTATCCCAGCAAGCAGTGGGCACAAGGCAGGATACACCCTTGGCCATAGGGTGTACACCATTCTGACCATATCACAGGACAGAACAACAGACACAAATACCAACACACACACACACACTCACATCAGGGCCAATTTTCCCAGAAGACAATTAATCTAGCTGTATGTCTCTGGACTGCAGGAAGAAAGTGGAGCATCCGGAGGAAACCCACACAAACGTGGGCAGAACATACAAACTCCACACAGATAACACCCCAGGTCCGGACTTGAACCCAGGCCCCAGCACTGCAAGCCTGTAATTCTAAACACTGTGCCACCCCTGGTTTGGTTTCAGTACTAATTCAAATACATTTCTCTTTGTTGTTTTTTTTTTACTTCTGTCTTCAAAAATGCCGTGGCACACTCATTTTTTGCCTTGTATTTCCTCCCAGCAGCTTTGGGAAGACTTATTTAGATATGCAGTTAATACATATTTCTACTGCTAACACAGGCTTAATTTGCAGGTCGCAAGTCACAAAACCTGGATTGGATCTATCCGCTGTGCAGTGGAAATCTTGTTTTCACTCTGTTACGTTAGATTGATATAGTGACTCAACTGCTTTGTCCCCTTTTTCCTTTCAGGAACCTGCAGGCAGCCATCGGGGCGTACTACGACTTTGAGAGCCCCAACATCAACGCACCATCAATGTCATTTGTCGAAGACGTGACAATCGGAGAGGGAGAGTCAGTGCCCCCTGACACACAATTCACAAAAACCTGGAGGATACAGAACACAGGTCTGTGCTCTTCCTCAGCTAAGCGTGTTGGCTGAAGGTGGATCATACTGGTTTATAATGTGATACTAAGCAACAGGGGTGCATTCATTAGATAGGGCTTTCTTATTTTTGGTCATGTGGCAGATTTGGTTTCCCGTTTACTAACACAATCTTCTGTGGAGTACAGAACTAGGCTGGCTGCCTTTGTCCCGATATCTCCAGCGATTGCGTGCGCTTAGTACACAGCGCTGACAGATACTAAAACTTGCGCTTTCGATATAACAGGGCCTCAGCTTGAATTACTGACGAGTAAATTCACCGTCTCGTTCTTATCGTGATGGAGGCATCAACGACTCATGAACTAGAGGACTTCGGTCTTTACAGGAGAGTACAGCAGAGCTCAGTCAAGTCCAAAAGCAGCAACGTGTTAGAAGACATGTCCCTTTCAAACTGTTTTTCACAGTAAAAACCAAAGAGCTGTGTCGATCAAAGCAGGGCTGATTGCAATAACATTGCAGAATATAGCCCGCAAAAGAGAATTGCTGCTGGAAAGTCAGCCATTGGCTAATTTAAAAACATATTTTGTTAGTGTCTTTTCAAAAACTGTCATTGCCAATATTGAACTTCTTTCTTCATCTGAACAAATTTTTTCTTGTTATATTCCCATCCATTTTGCTTGGGGGAATCCTAGTCTTAGTCAGCTAGTTACACATGACCCAGGCTGTGATCTCTGGATTGTTAAGGTCAATATGCATTTGAGTGAGCATTTGTTTGGTGTCTGAATCGCATCAAAGCCCCCTGAACACCCTGGATCTTACTATTATGGTCTTTGAAAAGCATGTCCAAAGTTTGGGGAAAACACAATAGGGAAGTTTAATATTTCACAATGTGCTGGTTTGAAACTTGGTTAGGTCTTACTAAGATCATTGGAGCTGAACTGCTCGCACCTGGGTGTACTGCCTACCCTTCTATGCTCAACACCTTTGCAGTGGACCAGCCTAAACACAGCGCTAATAGCAAGCACATGTAGACTGCATTTGTACACTTTGTGAACCAGTTTCAAGCAATTTCAAGGCTCAAGCAAATTACTGTCTGACTTCTTTTTGCCCATCAGCATTAACGGTATCCTCATAGCGGTGCCACATGATGATCTCCTGCTTTGAGCACAGCTAACGGGTGAGACGGTGCCATGGCACCATGTTACAGGCCTGCTGGTTGCTGTGGAGTCGCGATTGACAGGGCCGCCTGTCTGCGTTTCAGGGACGGAATCCTGGCCCCCCGGCGTGAGCTTGAAGTACGTGGGAGGCGACCAGTTTGGCCATGTGAACATGGTGATGGTCCGGTCCCTAGACCCCCAGGAAGTGACGGACGTCAGCGTGCAGATGCGGAGCCCGGCAGCGCCCGGCATGTACCAGGGCCAGTGGAGGATGTGCACGGCTACGGGACTCTTCTACGGGGGTAGGTCAGACCCTGAGACTCACTTGACAGCTCATCTACAAGAAAGACGCCTGTGGTCCTCTTTGAACCATGTTGTGATCTGTACCCACAAGTGAAAGCAGGCTGCCTTGCTTTAGTCCGACAAGTGGCTTGCTCATGACGAACTCCCCAGTAAGAGCCCAGAGCAAGTGGACTTGGCTGCATGGCTTGGATGAGAGATCATATTCAGATTTGTTGAAGATGAGATGATGACCTCCAGTTCATTGTACGAATCTGTGCACCAAATAAGCTTGTCTTTTGACCATGGGAGGAAACTGGAGCATGCAGTGAAAACCTACGAGAACAAGGGGAGAACATCCAATCTCCATACAGGTAGGATCCCAGGAATTGAACCCAGGACTTGCAACAGCTTGGGCTTTCCTTCAAGTGCTCCAGTTTCTTCCCACAATCCAAAGACATATTGGTAGTATGACATGCTGGCACTACAGATACTGGTTTCTGGAGTGCCCTTCAGTGGATAAGTCTCTGGAGCTCATCTCCCTGCAGTATGAGGGCCTGGGTGGGAACTTGCTGCAGGGCAAGCCAGCGCAGGAGGCTTTTCACAGCTTCCAGGGGGCAGAACACGCACAACTCGTATGGCATGCAGGGAGTGTCAGTGTTTCAGTCTTTGTGAGCCCTGTGATCTACTGGCATCTTGTCCAGGGTGTACCCTGCCTTGCTCCCGTTGTTTGCTGGAATAGGCTCTGGTTCCTTTGTGACCCTGAATTGGATGAAGCAGTTAATGGATGGACATCCCTTGTGAAGCTTAAGACTTCTTTGGCAGCAGCCATATTACCCTGCAGCTCACAACCCACTGAAGTTCAGTAGGTGTGAGCCTGGTCTGTACCTGGATGGGAGACCTCCTGGGAAAAACGAAGGTTGCAGCCGGAAGAGGTGTTAGTGGGGCCATCAGGGGACGCTCACCCTGCAGTCTATGTGGGTACTAATGCCCCAGTATAGTGATGGGGACACTGTACTGTAAAAAGGTGCCATCCTTCGGGTGAGACATAAAACCGAGGTCCTGACTCTCTGTGGTCATTAAAGATCCCAGAGTGTTTTTCGAAAAGAGTAGGGTTGTAACCTCGATGTCCTGGCCAAATTTCCCATTGGCCCTTACCAGTCATGGCCTCCTAATAATCCCCATCTCTGGACCGGCTTCATTACTCTGTTCTCCCCACTAATAGCTGGTGTGTGGTGAGTGTACTGGTGCATTATGGCTGCTATCACATCATCCAAATGGCATTAATAGCTTGTTATAATGCTGTCATTTGTAATGAAAGTGTTTGATCATATGGTAAAGCCATAACTGTAAAACAGGCTGTAATGTTAGTATTACAAGAACAACACCAATGCCTCAGAAGCCAACAGGTTATTTAGCCCCTTTTGATAGCTTCACCACTAGGTGGCATTGCACTCATTGGGTTCTCATCTGAGCATGAATTTCATTTCAGTTTTTTTTCTTCCACACATCTAATCCCTCAGTAATGTAAGGAAGCCTAGCTTTTGCTCAAGGCCACGCTGTTTTTAAGAAGTGCCTTGGGCAAAGTTCACACACAAACCAGAAAGAAGTCAAGCAGAATCAATATATAAATAGACTAAGAACAGAACAAGAGGCGCTTCTTGGCGGTGAGAGCTTGCCCTGCCGTGTTAAAGCCAATACCCAGGCTTCCTTTTGAAGAAGTAGCTGGATGAGATCCTTGGATCAGTTAACTGCTATCAAACATGCTTGATGGACCAAATGGCCTCCTCTCATTCATAACCTTCAGTGTTCCTCTGTTTTACTCTTGTTTCAATCCATTTTCTAACTTCTGCATCCAGTTCAGCGTCCTGAAAGAGCCAGAGCCTATCCTGGCAAGCAGCGGGCACAAAGCAGGGTACAGTCCTTCACGAAAGCACCCCTAAGACACAACTGCAGACGCTTACCACCCTCACTCCCAGGGCCAATTCTCCTATAAGCCAGTTAACCTACTTGTATGTCTGTGGACTGTGGGAGTAAACCAGAACATCCAGGGGAAACCGTCATGAACACAGGGAGAACAGACAAACTTCATGCAGACGGCACCCCAGGCTTTTGAACCCAGGGTTCCAGCACTGCAAGGCAGCAATGCTAAGCACTACCTCCGTGCCCCTCACTACTCAGTGTCTGCGGCTCAAAGTTAACATATTTCATGAATTAGATTGTTAGGATTGGAGGCAAGCAGTCAGGACAGCCCCATGGATGAATCAGACCAGAGACAGTAGTGAGGAGAATCTGCTTACTTTATTCACAGTGTGCCCAAGGGGACATTGACCAGAAGCCACAGAAATCTCAAAGAATAGGAATAACCGTCTGGCATTAAATATACTTTCCAGTGGGGGCTGGCTGGCAAACTATTGCCCATCTGCAACTTTCTAGCTGTAACTTGTGAAGTACAGTGATTTTCATTGAGCCATCTCACTTATCCTCCTAGATTACACCAGACTACATCCCATAATACTTCTGTAGTTTTCCTCATCTTCATCACCAGAACTTATGGTCAAATAATAAAGTTATAATGGATCCATAGATCTGGTGTACCTTACTTTAACTTCTGTGGGTAGCAGCCCCCCTCCTTGAGGTTTTAGTGAGGCCAGTGTCTTCCAGCCCTTATCTATATCTTTTGATACAACCATCCCCCAATTTCCATTAATCAAGGAATCAAGGTCAGCTTCATATCTTCTAGACTTTCTCACAGGAATGGGTATAATCAGCGTAACTTCCCCATAAGTTACAAGTTTTGAAGCTTATACAGAAGCACTACAAAAGAAGGACAGGCATATTGCAGGATATAAAAGTGATATAATGATAGCAAAAACCATCAGTAATCAATTAGCACATCGATATTAATATCAATCAGAGCTGCATTTTCATTCTTTATTAATACATGCGGTTCTACAAATTTCAGTCCCTTCAGTATCGCTGGAGTGCAGTACTGACAGCCCTGAGTGTCCCGTCATGTTTGGCAACACCACCTCACCTACCCAGGGGCAGCTGTGGAGCAACACAGCTCATACACAAGGGCACAGCACCCTGAGCAGCTGCCAAATAGCCTTTCAATAGAAACGGAATACTCCTGGCAGATGTACACAGTCTGGTCTGCATGTATTTTGTGCGTGTGGGTAATACACTTGGAGCACCCTCTCTCAATCTTATGCACTTGAAGGGAGGAAAACAGATTGTTTCCTAGTTAAACCTTGATTTGATTCCTCTAACTGTGAGCATTTCTAACTGTGCGAGGAAGCTGATGTGTGGTGCATTTTTTTACCCTCACCTGGGGGTGAGAGTGAAACCTCCTGCGCGATGTTAGCCAGGATGGGAGGGCGAATCAGAGTGGTAGTTCCGACCGGAGAGCTCGGTCTGCGTTTCCGATTGCCTCATGCAGGGGCAGGCAGCTATAAAACTCCCCCGTCCTACCAGTGTAGCCCCTCAGTCAAACCAGCACATAATTCGCTGTACCGATCCTGTCACCACTTCAGCTCCTCAGGATGAGTCAGGTGATGTGAAGTCGAGCTGTCCGCAGCTCGAGGTCACGCCGTGTCTGAAAGGTCTCTCTGTCTCTCTCTCTCTCGGTCAGATGTGATCTGGGTGATCTTGAGTGTGGAGGTGGGCGGGCTCCTGGGCGTCACACAGCAGCTGTCCTCCTTCGAGACCGAGTTCAACACCCAACCGCACCGCAGCGTGGAGGGCAACTTCAACCCCTTCGCCTCGCCGCAGAAGAACAAGCACCCCTCCAGCGACGAGGACAACAGCCTCAAGGACCCGGGGGGCCCCTGGGAGGCAACACCAGACCGAATCCAGCAGGATCAAAATGGACTGTCACACAACTCTGTAAATATAGCACCAAACGGTCTCCAAAACAACCTATCAGTAGTGACTTACAGCCAGGTACGTACAGGCCTGACACAGGCTAGTTGTTTCCCTTGTGGCCTCCAGGGGGAGGCTGTGAAGTAGAGAGCCTTGCTCTGTTAAACCAGTCAGCCGTGATATAAAGATCAGTACAAGGGCGGCACAACACAAGTCACAAAACTGAGCAGCCACAAACACCTGCTACCTTTGACATTATCAGCCATGCAGGACGTGACACAGGGGCTCATTCAGACGGCTGGTATTTACAGCTTGGAACATGAACAAGGTTTTAGAAAGATTATTGTGTTGTAGGGTCACAGCTTTTGTGATTTCACTATTGCAATGTGATTACTTCGGCATGAATTCTCCAAGAAGGCTCCATGATCCTTCAAGACCATGTTTCTCATCACCCCATCACCTGCACCAGTCCCTCTCGTTACTTTAAGTAACATTACCAATTAAATAGTATTCCTGCAAGACGTTTAGTAACTTGAAAGATCCAAGTACTCTTAATGTAACAAACAGTATTACTCAAGTAATTGAGATGGGTCAGTATATGGTTTGATTTGTACTGCAAATCAGAATAACTTTTCAGTTCGATTTGTACACTACTATAGATTTAATATGCTTATTCAATGGTTCAAAGCATTTGAGCCAATTAATACACCATCCAGTGTGCTCCAGCAGGCATGGGTCCACTGCTGAAATTCTACACATCTGTCACTTCATAGTGTGTCCCTTATTTAAGGGAGTTATGAAACCAGGATGTGGTCCAAGATCATGTCTGTTTCCTAATTCTGCCTTGGAGAAAAGAATATGGACTTTTTTTTCTGCCAGTAAATTTTGTCTGCACCTAAATTTTGATTTTGGAATCCGCGATCTTTATTTTGTGACAGATTCCTATTGATGCCCTTTAATAGACCAATACGGCATTTAAATATAAATACAACATCTATATAGTTACGCAATGTTCGAATGATAAGGAGGGATGATAAGCTAAAACAATTAGTGATGGTACACATTTTCCATTAAACCAGACAGAAATACCGTGTGTGCATGAGAAATGACAATTGACAAAAAAGGAGAATGCTCGCTATAGAAAGTACGTCACCTTGTGAGAGCGATTTGTTCAGCCGATGCAGAAGAGCAGCAAGGATGTGTAGTGTTTGTGTGCAACTTGAGACTATACCAGCCCCCAGCACCACCATTCGCCAATCACAGCACTGCAAGAAATCACTTGTGTTGGGAGACATTGCTCCTGTGACCAACATCAGCATGTCTACAGAAATGAGCTTGTCAAATTAAGACTGAATTGGGGTGTCACCATTTTCGCTTGAGCCAGCAGCATCCTACAAAGCCTGGTACCCCTGCAGCCCTGCGATGCTTGAGAGTGTACTTGTATTAATATGGTCGAACTCTATGCAGTTGTGTCATAGACACTGATTTGTGCTAATCTTGGACAATATATTGTTCATTTAGACCAGATAATCTAGGGCCAATACTGTTCCAGAGTCTGAAATTTATTTTCTATGTGGCATCAAAGTCTGTCTGCAAAACTGGGTTAGACACTAAGGCTTTTCCAGATGAAACAGCAAATGTGAAATCCATGTTTCACATAGCATTTCTTGTATCCTGGCACAGCAGATAATCATATAATCATATAATCCAAAGGAGAAAAGGGTGCCATAATTCTTTTTTTGTGTCTTGCAAACCCAGAAAGGAGGTATTTCCTTGAATAGCAGCACAACCTTGCAAGTCAGGGAGATCCAAATGCCAAGTTTTGTTTTGCCCCTGTTAATAAATCAGTGAAAAGGTTTATATTGGGCTTGAAAAATACATTTATAGGAGAGAAACATCATACATAAAAGAGGATCTGTCTTGCTCATTTGATTTCATGTGGGTAATTGTTAGAAGACCCAGAGTTTGACCTCACAGACGTCTTTTATAAAGAAATGCCTTCTAGTTTGAGTCTCAACTGTAGTTTTATTTCCTCTTATTTCAGCTGGCCTTTGCTTTGTTTGAAACAATGCTTAGATCAGAACAGGGCATTGAGAATTCTTTGTGGAACAATATGACTTCTATACACGTCCTTGCAACAGACTCCTCCTGTTAATCTCTGCCAGCCGAACTGCCCCATCTTAAAGACTTCAAATAAAACTGAACAGTCCTCATTACCACTTTTAAAGCATTCATCTCAAACACCTCCAGAACCTCAATGTTTGATCATCCCCAAAAAAACCTGTTTCCTGCAATCCCTTATTGCTTAAGGTACTGTTGGTGACACAGGCCCATTGCCCAAGGAAAATGTAAAAGTCAAAGGATGGCTGTTGCGTTATTAGGAACTTCCAAAGGGTGTGGGGGCTGTTCTTGTGTGTGTTATCGCTTTCCAGTCTCATATCAAACCCATTAATGTAGTCTGATGTTTGCTACACTTGTGCAACCCAATTTAGAAATGGGCCAATTGTGTTCCTTGCCAAAAACCAAACCTGTTGTGCAACAGATTTTCTTCTGCTTTTTTATTGGAAATGTGAATGAAACCTATTTTATAGACATTTTCTTTTAAAACCAGGCTTGAGCTTTGTTTTTGCTGTTGAGCTTCTGCATCATAAAACCTCACTGAGAATATTGTCTACAGTTTTGGTCATCACGTTATAGAAAGATATTGCAGCTCTGGAATTAATCTAGAAAAAAGCCCCGTATTTGGTTTCTCAGTGGAATGTCTTGCGCTGAGAGGCTTAGAGAACTGAAGTCTTCAGTCTTGAACGGAGAAGAGGGAACTAAGGTATTCAAAGTCCTCCAAAGCATTGACAGAGTCAACCCAGCGGATGTCTACTGAATAAACAGTGAAATGCAAACCACAGGGCTCAAGTGGAAATGACCTGGAATTGCATTTAAAACTGAGAACAGGAAGCACATCTTTACACAAAGGGCGGTGGGAGTATGGAACAAGCATGGACCATGCTATTGAAGCCTTCACCCTGTTTATTTTTCAAGAAGTGGCTGGATAAAATCAATTAACAGCTACCAAATGAGGTAGATGGGCTAAATGGAGTCCTCGTTTGTAACATTTGTGTTCTTAAATCCAGTAATTAATTAGCATTGTATTTTAATTGAAATATTGTTTGCGTGTGCAGTGAAATAACTCTTGTAATGTTACAAATTCCAAATTTAGATAGTCACAGTGAAAAGCAAACTTAAATTTTTCCCAGATGGAGTTTGCTTGCTCTCCATGTGGTTGCATGGGTTTCCACTGGGCACTACATTCTTCCCACTTTCCACAGACATGCCAGATTGAGACCTCTAGGTTGTGCGTGCCCTGTGATTGACTGGCATCTAGCCGGTAGTCCTGCCTTGTGCCCTGTGCTCCAGTTTGGTGCAGTTTTAGAAGGAAAGCTGCTTTCTGTTAACAGGTGTAGGGATCTACAGGGTCAAGTGTGTAAATAGTTATACTTTCAGCTGTAGTGTTGCTCAATCTTCAATACGTAAAACTTACTTTAGGAGTTTTGAAATAGAGCTCTTTCATCTCCGTCCTAGGACATTCTGTGATTTGCTTTGAAATTACACGAGGGGAGCAAACCAATGGCAGATTGTCTGCTCGCTAGTTGGCCCACTTATCCAAATACACACCTTCTGGGAAGCAAAAATCTCTAGTCATGGTCTTGCGGCTCTAAGAAAATAACTATGAGTGAGCTTCCCTTCGATTTTATCCGTTTCTCAGCCAAATGCAAACAGTGATAAATGTGTGTTACATTTATTTGGAAAAACTCTGACCTCCTTTGTGATTTTTATCATTTATCAAAGTTATTTTGAGTCATTTTTTAAAAAAAAAGATAACCTAAAGGGTTTTGCAAGCACCTGTGCATGAATTTGAAGCACTTAAAAAGAGAGAGGGCCTTAAGGTAAATGTAGGCGGGAGGAATTGTTCCACTTGGAGAGCAGACGAACTAGAGGAGGTTTTAAGTACATGATGATGGTAGGTACCAAACCATGTGGCGGCTGGTTTGTAGCAGATTCTTGGCACGGGTTTGGCACGGGTTCGAGATCTGAGTCATATCGGTACGCAGCTGAGCCTGGCATTCTTCAAGCTGCAGTTTGCCTGGCACTGCACGGGTGGCACGGTATCACAGTGGTTAGCATTGCTGCCTTGCAGCACTGGGGCCCTGGGTTCAATTCCAGACCTGTCTGCATGGAGTTTGTATGTTCTCCCCATGAATTTTCATGGATTTAACATGGATTTTCTCCCAGAGTCTGGTAGGTTAATAGGCTGCTGGGAAAATTGGCCCAGGTGTGAGTGTGTGATGGACTGGCATCCCATCCAGAGTGTATCCTGCCTTGTGCCTGTTGCTTGCTGGGATAGGCTCCAGTTCTCCTGGGACCCTGGTTTGGATGAAGCAGTTAGAAAATGGACGAATGGCTCTCAAGCTAACACAGCGACCCCCGCAGGCACTCAGCGCTGTTGTAGAGAGACCGAGGGGCTGAACCCCAGGAACATGCTGCGTTGTCTGTGGCATGTCTCAAAATGGGGGGCCTGACACTGGACATGATCAAAGGGGCAGAGGGGCATGCTTGCAAACTGTTTGAGAGTACGTGCGTGGGGACATGGAAAACACAAGTAGAAGAAAAACATACGCTGATTATAACATTCTAACTTTTTTTTCTGGTTTAAAGATTCAAAGCATCTAAGACTAAAATGACTACAGCAGCCACTTTGTGTGTGATAAACATTTTAGCAAGTCTTAATGCAATACTAAAGTACAGATTAAATCAAAATGCCAGTCATCCACTAGCCCAATTCTTAGTCCTGTGTTGGAAGGCAGCTTCCCAATAGGTGGATGAAATGGGCTTCTGAAACTGAAAAACTGTCAACAGCTGTAGAGATTGGAATTCTTTTTCTGAGGGGAGCAAGTCCAAGACTTCAGCCTTATCTAAATCGTAAACACAAACCTTGTATGTATGTCAATTTGCTTGAGATATATACAGACCTCTTTGAATCATTTTCATTAATCTTGTTTTTTCTGCAAATAATGTGCTAGAGTTTTTAAAGCTAATATAGACGGATGCCTTCGATCTCCTTCGTACGTTACAGAAGCCCCGTGTCTGCCCTACTCAAGCCGGAGCGTCGGCTTACGACAGTACATTGTTTTGCGAACCGAAAGGTTAATGGACATGCCATGACCAGGGCCCACACTGGTCTGGGCCACGTTAACACGCAGCTGTCAGTCCCTGGGACTGCAGTTGTCCCGGCGACAGTGCACAGCTGGCAGAGTGCTGCCTGGGGTAGCCGGGCAGGGTGTCTCAGCTCTTAACGAACGGGCAGCTACTGTGACCCCTCCTGCAGGTCAGTGGAGCTCATCCTCCCCTCCTCGTGGTCTCCAAGCTGACATGTACAGACGCCATTGGCGACTCCAAATCTGAGTGGTATAAAGTGCAAAATCCAAACCTCCTACAGCAAGACTGCGAAGGGAGCAAAAACAGCGACTATTCTGAGGATGATCTTTGCAGAGATCTGTGCAGATAATGGTGTCTGGGATCCCCAGAAATAACTCACTCTGTCCTTCTGTTTTCCCAGGGTATCCACGGCCCCTATCCTTTTGGACAGTCTTAAAACCCGGGAATCACTGTGCAGTGGCACTGGATATTCCCCACGTGGGGGAGGCTGGGGGTGTAGAGATCTCTTACTGACACTTGGCAGGCCCCTCTCCTCTCCACAGCAACCCAAAAGACAAACCGAAGACGAGGCCGCATCGTTTGTTCCGTTCCTGGTAAATAATACAGCAGACATCGACAAAGCCCAGCGTATGCATGTATGAATGCTAAATTAAAAAAGGAGTGCTATACGTCTTTTAAAACAAGATGAGAGACACGTTTTTTTAGTTGTCATCACAGATAATTAAGTAGAGAGCGAGAGTGAGTGGAAGTGTGGGTGAGTGTGTGACACGCAAGAGAGAAAAGAGGGGAAAAGCCATTTATTGAGCGATTGTAGGTTTTGAGCAAATGTTTAAATTTATTGACTTGTTCCTATACATTTTCTTTTAGTGATAAGCTCATGGTGTATACTTTTTGGGTAGGTTTGTTTTTCCAGCTTTTGGTGTATTCATTTTTCATCATATGAAAGAAGTTGTTTTGGAGGGGGGGTGATTCCCAGAGGAGAAAAATGAAACGATTTTGGTATTTTCAAATCCAGTTCCCTCTCCTAGCTTCTGTTCTACACTGCCTTTTCATTCAGTTTTTCACATTTGACAGTGATGTACAAAAGTTCAGTTCAGTCTGATTTTTGGGATCACTCAAGAGAGTCACAAGTCAGCGATATGAGCACTGCCATTAGATTGAAATGCCTTAAAATGGGTTGTGACGGAGGCGCAGAACCACAGTACTCCAGCAGAGGGAAGTAAAGTACAAATCCATAATCACGCCTCTTCGTTCAAGTTGGTGCTACTGCAGAAGCCAGAGAATATATATCGCTGATGTTTTTAGAAGGAGCGTGCTTTTTCTGAGTGCGGGACTGTCGTTACACTCTTGGGGAACAGCCCCTGCAGCGAGTCCAGCACGAGGAGTTTTACATTACACTCGTCGGAGAGTGTTTTTTTTTTTAGCCATCTCAGGGGTGAGGATTCAGAAAACCTTAGCAGCCCAAAAGCAGTCTTTGCGAGAACCACTGCTGTTTTAATGTCTGCCGTCATCAAGTGGGGTCAGTGTGGTAGGCTCTAGTTCCTGCCTCATGGTTTCAGGTTGGCAACTTCCCCCTGTTCTTTTCTGATTCCCTAAGCAACACCTGAGTCCACAAAGGCAAGCCTTCCTGCCGACGCTGGGGAACTGACACTCTCACTTTGAGTATGGAGGTGACCATGTGAAACAAAAAATCAAGCTTCACCTCCTGAACTGACACTACAGGCTGCAAACCTGTTTTTTTTTCCTTGTAAAGTACTGTGAAGAGAAAGCCACTCGCTTAGCATGATACTATCTGGAAGATCGGTTATCTTCGTATTCAGAAAGGGCATCACACAGATTATTTGGGCAGCTATCAGACTCCTTTCCACATAACTGTATGAGCCTCCTGCACACATAATAAGCACCGCTATACTGCAAGGAAAATGTTTTTTTTATGGTGCACAAATTGCAATCCTGCCTCAGAACACCGCAAGGGGTGTCAAAGCAGGAGAGAAGACAAGCCAGCCAAACGTCAGCATGCAGAAATGTGCTTTTGTAGCTCTCCCATCGTGAAGCCTTATCTGCTGGAAAGGAGATCGCTTGTGTCTCCCCAGATTTGAAATGTTCTGAAGCCATATCGGATAGCAAAAGATGTCACAATTTGTTTCTTTTGCAGTACGGTGCAGCAGTTAGCCGATTGTGCACGCCTTCACACCAGGAACAAACCATTTAATAACCCGTGAGGGTTTTCCAAATAGATCCTCATCCAGTCTTCCACTGTGAGCTAACCTCTCACCATTGCCGATCCTGCTCTCCGGACTATTGCTCCCCCCTTCTCCAGTCTGAAGGTTGTATTTGACACCGAAGCTCTGTAAACCAAAGTGGTCCTTGATCAAGCAGTCATCACATGTAATTTCCGCATTCAGCTTCGACTTGCAGCCCAAACTACCGTCACTCAGGGCAGACTACACCTGTTTCTTGTTTACCTTTCATTTCGTTATTACGGCAATCCATCACACTCAGCTCTGCCGCTGGCTGTTTGTTTTCACAAGAGCTGATACCGCAAGCCACCTCATCCCAAAAAGTATACACTGTTCGTTTTGTTCTTTCCTTTTTCTCTCTCTCTTTCCTGGGCTGGATTTCTACTCTTCTTCTTCTTTGTGCGATTGTGAGTTTGAGTCCTTGCCCGATGGTGTTGTTTTTTTTTTTTGGTGAGTTTTTGCGCAGGGTTGGCATGGCAGGCGGGGGCGACTCTGAAGTCCGAGTCTGATAGCACATTTAAGAAAAAATGTCAAAGAAACGAAAGCTTCTTTTTTTCTGTATGTAAAAAAAAATGAACATTTGTATGATTAAATTAACACTGAAAGAAACCTACTTGCGTGCTTTTATTCTTGAGTATACTTTACCTGAGGTTTCATTTGTTGCCAAGCAGTGCCAAATGTGTGGATCACAGCTATAATGTTTCAGTGTTGCACATTCTTATCAGGTTCACCTATCCCTTAAGCCCTCCTCGATAATTGCAACTTTATCATGAGCTTTATCATGGGCGGGTATAGACGCACAAGGGGTATTTGCCATTACTGTACCATGATTTGTGGGTATCCAGGTAAGCAAAGCTGGGCTGTTTTTCATGTTTGATATGACTTAGTTGCTCCAAAACACTGGGGGCTGAGTCTTCAACACAAATACACTGCTGGACTCACGTTGGGATATGTGCACATCTGTACGGCTGGAACACAGTGCAGATCATGAGAATATTTACAAATGTGAGGTGCATGCGACAGCAGGCCCAAAAGAAAGTGCTGAGCCTTAGCCCCACAGGCTCCAATTTTAGTGGGGCATAAGTTTAAGAAATGAGCCACTTGCAACTGTGTGCTGCTTTCCAAACGCAGCTGTGTGGATGCCATGCTAGCATCAGGAATTTCTCTCTGATTTTCTCTGTAATTTTCAGAAGGAAGAACAAGTTTGGGGATTTCGGCTTGCTTTCAAAGACTAGGATTTTCTATCTTGCTTTCCGTGAGCTCTCATCTTATTAGACCAGTTTTTTTATTGAGCAAGTTTCGATTATATGTATAACCATAAAGGCTTAAACAGTTTATGACATTAAGAGCACATATCTTCTGATATGCCCTGAAACAACCTTCTTTCTGTATTACACAATTGAAATGTACTGGCAGATCTGTTGCACAAGTTAAATACCTTTTTTTTAATCTGATGAGTTGAGAAGGCATCTTTATCACTTAAGCACTTTCCTGTAAAAGTAATATAATTAGAGGAGACCACGCAGCCTGCAATCAACGACTTGAATTCACCTGCTCCAGGCGTCAGACAATTTTGTGTGTCTTGGACGCAAAACCTGTGTAACTTGTCCTGTGTTCTCATGTTATTATAGTTGCTAGTGCCCTTAATCTAAACAGGTTACTGAATTAGAACCTCTTCTTAGTTTTTGAAGCAATTAAATACTTACATTCCCATCATGAGCTAAGCAGTGACCTTTCCATCACTGTGATCTACGTGAGGGACTGCATTGCAGTAGTTCAACACCCATATGTGGTTCTTCTGATGTATATATAGAACCTTGCAAAAATATGCAGAACTGCGTAAAGTTTTCATATTCGTACTTTGAAGTAATTATATTATCTACAACCTACTGCACACATTCAAAGCAAAAAAAAATAGATCATATGTAATAAAAATAGAACTGCCTTTAATGCACAAATATTCAAACCCTATACTGTGGAAAACAATTCAGGTGCATACAATTACCTTAATGGCCCACACAATGAGTTGTGGCCATTTCTGTGTGCAATTATAGCAGGCCTCATGATTTCAGAATAAACACACCAGAGGTCAGAGATGTTCATAAAATCTCTACATACGAGAGAGAAAGTTTGTGACAGCAGCAGTTCACATGCTGCAGCTGTGTAGATACATTTCAGTATTTTAAGAAAGCAAATAGTTTTTTTCAGCTTATCGTGCTTGTTTTGTTACTAACAGCTCACCCAGATGTTTTTTTTTAAGTAGGTTTCTCTTCCAGATGAACACTCAATTAAACAACTGAACCCTGAATAGGCCTCATCACAGGTTGAATTTGAACTAGTTAATTGTTTTCTGTTTTTTAACGTGTACAGTAGGTGGCTGCCTTTTAAGGTGGTGTAAAAAGGTGGTGTATGGTGTCAAAAGTTGGAGTTCGAAAATAAAAACAATGTTGTCCTAAAGAACTCCATTGAATCTACTTCAAGTTGCTACCTAGTGTAATGATATGCCTCCTGTTTTCAGACCAAAATACACTTTTCAATAGTGTCCTTTTGTCATACTGTCAGGGTCTTTCTTGAAATAGTCTGCTGGATTAACGTTTAAGATTTGAATATTAGCTTCAAAACCTTTAATATTTTTTCATTTTTTTCCATTCATGCCAATAACCCTGGGTTTGTTTAAGTCCTCTTCTCTGGGGTTTCAATGCACTGGGCATGCTTCCATAAAAAGCTGCTGCACATGAACCCCTGCAAATCAGTCGAGCCACAGAGGAAACCTGTTTCCAGAAAGCCTGCCATGTCGGCCTCTGATTTTCCCACTGTGTTGACACAGCAGAGCAAGAAGATGATCCAAGAAATCTATTCAAATATGGACAGGTGCCGACCTAGCGTCTCCAAACGCACACCTGAAAGCATATTGAATTAAATACAAACAGGAAGAGTACACAGAAAGGAAAGTACAAGCCAAGCGTCAGAAAGAGGAGGAACGGTTATGAAAATCAGTGGTTTCCAAGAAAAGAGATGAACTGCACTGACCCGACAGCCTCCTGTGACAGCTCACTGGGGATAGGTGAGAAACTCCAATGGCAAGCCAAGCGACTGCAAGCCAGTGTCCCAGCCATTGCAGGGCAGGGGCGTAGCCAGAGAGAGGGGCACAGGGTGGCACTTGCCACTCCAGATGCCACCCCATTTTAGGTGTAACCTAAAATACCTTATTGTCTCAATTTAACCAGCAAAATCCAAGGTAAATGTAGGAAACAATTATAACGCGTCTTAAACATTTTAAGAGCGTCCATGTAGCCTGTATTGTAGATAGTCGGTGTCGGACCGGTGGACTGATCATGCAGCTCAGTGAAAGCTGCCCAGGATGTTGGCTTTAGCTTGTGTGTAACGCAGGGCTTACCAGAGTGGCTGGTGCCGAGAAGAAGTGTAGTACATCCTATTTTAGGAGGCAAACTATCATTTAAAAATGCCACCCCCATAGGTGTCCCTGCCACCCCAAATATACAATCCTGGCTACCCCACTGTTGAAAGAGCGTTTATTTCACTTTGAGCTTTCAGTTCTCCGACTGGCTCATCTGGACGTGGTCCATATCCTTCTCGGGTCTTGGAAAGTTCGGAGCACACACTTGGCTTAAATTCAAGCTCCTAGAAAACATCAATGGGCCTTTAATTAAAGCACTGGGCCAGGGCTACTCAGTCCACAGCCCCTACAATGAACTCCATTAGCAAAGTTTGCTATAGCCAGCTCCTTATTGTTATTAAATTGATAGTCAGCAGGATCAATAGAGCAATTAAACAGCTGGATGCAGCACTGGAGTCCATCCCCAACCCTTAGCCTCTCCAGAGGCTTAAGACACTTATAACCAAGGCCTCTGCTCTGCGTCTTGATCTTTCCATCACTTGCTACTACACCTGCATTGCTTAAGTGGCATCACCTGATTGGAATATTACCTTATTCATCCAGCACAGCGCCTTTGTGGAGGTTATATACTGTAGACTATAATAACCTTGACAATTTTATAAAATCATTTTTTCCTAAAGCTGCAATAGGTGCTTTAATATTCATGATGACCTTAACCTAAGCCCAACACAGGCTCTGACCTCTGCTCTGATGAATGTTATGTGTGGTCATGAATATTTATGTGCCAGCTATGTCTTTTAAAACAACTGTCATACAGGGTTAACCCCTTTAAACATCAACATCTGCATTAAAGAGAACCAACGGTACAGGTCTAATATCAGTGCTGACAGTTCCTTAAACGCCAGCTTTTATTAGAAAGGGCCGTGTAAAACATGTTTGATTTGGCAGCAAGACAAAATTGGGATTAACCAGTCTGAAATAAAATGTAATAAGTAATTTTTTAATCTGTCCTCTACGTGGACATACCACAAGATGAACCACTCCTGCACTGACTCAGATCTTAGCCTCTCTCGGGCACTTGTCAAAAGCTGTTGAACTCTTCCACCTGTTTAGTCTTTGTTATCCATTCTACTTGTGGCACTTGATTGTCAAGCACCTGCAATGCATTTGGGGGTGGCGGACTTGACTTTTTTACAGTCTAGTTGTGTCTTTCCACAACACCAGCCTCTGAAGTTAAGTTGTGATATGAAGGGTAGCAATGAGAGGGGAAGGTGCACTTTTCTTCTTCATCACCATGACAGGAACATTCTCAAACATTGTGGATTCAGAGTTCACATCTGCTTCATTTTGTATCCTCATTGTTCCCCAAATATGCACCATTAAGCTTTTTGCCTTACGGTTATTGAAAAAACAATTTCTACTGAAAAAACAGGAGCAATTGCCCTGGGAGAATATTCACTTGAAGTCTATGACAAATGTGTCGGGTTCGGTACAGAGGTAACTCACATGATCATGCTGTTAGAGGGCCGAAGACTTCTCCCTGGGAAAGCTTGGGTATTCATATGTTAGTAAAGAATATGTTTTCTTCAGTATTTTATGTTACTTTTGCAGAGTTCTAACTGCAATTTTGAAGGACTTCTAAAATGCAATTGCAGCTGTTTTGAAAGCTATATTCTAGTGTCTCATAAGACGGTATCTGGCTGGTATCCCAGGAGTCCCTGGCATATATGGTCTCAGCTATGAGTTATCAGTTAGGTGGTTTATGCAATAACTGATTTATTAGTTTGTGCATTATACTGTAATTGTTAACAGAAATGTTTATCTAATTAACACACTTACAAGCCAGCAGCTATATCACCCTGCAGCTCTCAACTGGCTATTCACTGAAGCTACAGTAAGCAGGGTTAAGCCTGGTTAGTACCCAGACAGGAGACCTCCTGGGAAGGTATTGGTGGTGTTAGTGGCACCAGCAGAAAAGTTCACACAGAAAAAAAAAAACTTGGATAACAGTAAGCTTTTTCTGGGTACACACTACTGAAAACTGGATGTCGGGTGTATAAACTATGACAACATGCTCTAGCGCATAAACAATTTGAGGTTTCCACATCACACAAAGTAATATAAACAAAACAAATAACCATATAACTGCACAAAGCTCTAGGGGGGACTGAACAAGCAGGTGAAAATGATTAATGCATTACAAGAGAAAAAAAAATCTTCTGTGTTAGTCCCAATGAGCAGCCCTGGGTTTCCAA